AAGTCTATATGCGCGATATATATATATATATATATATATATATATATATATATATATATATATATATATATATATACCACCTAACGACATAGATTATGACATGATAATATCAGTTTAAAAAGGTACTATCAAATTTTCTTTGACAAAAAAACCATATACTATGGCTATATATGGTCATGATGTCTAGTTATCATGACCATATTTAGGCATGTCACTATTTTTTTTATTCAAATAAAATTTGATAGTTTGGATATGGCTTAAAAAGTTATTGGTCGCATGACGCGTTAGTCGATCGTTGAACGCTTTGGCATACAAAGTAATACTGTATTAGGCTTATTATTATATAAAGAGGAACGTCATGACCTCGTTCTACACCTACCGATGGGGATAATCAATAGAAGTCAAAATGATCTACTGTATTCGAATTTTTTGGTTAATCCTGCAGTCAACAGATGAAAACATATCTAGAAATTGAAAGTGATGTCTTGGCGTTGGCACTATTTATAAAGCCAAAAAAAAAGACAAGCTTCAGCTAACGGCACTAAATGTCAATCAAACTCACCTCAGGTACACGCAGTTAACAAATAGCTATCAATTTTACAAACTTACAACTGAACACATTGAGTGGCAGTTGTGATAAGGTGTCAATCGATGCATGACTCTGAATATTCAGGAAACACGTTTCAGAGCGCGTTTACGCACGCATGGGGATGGTGGTGTTGATCGATGTCATGGGGAGGGAACACACGGAAAATGTTACATAGGACAACAACTGCTATATTGACAGAATGTTGAACTCTGGCGCCGAATTAAGTCACAAAGGGGTGACTAGGGTTATAGGTCCACTTGTAAAATAAGAACAGGCTTCTTAGTTAGTAAGATACCACATTCGCTCGGCACCAGCCAGCATATTAGTAGAATTTAAAATCGATTAAATAAACCTTTAAAATCCATAAATTGTTATATTTTTGGGGGGCTTTGCCCCCTGGAACACTTTCGATAGATTTTGAGCGTCTTCCGAACAAACCCACTATTATTCGTCGGACCACACGTCGGGCAATCCTGACGCCAGCATTGCCAATTAATCTGTCGTCTGCCGTTTGTACCTGCTTTATCTAAGTTTGTGAATAAGAATTTATTCCTTGACCACTGTTTCTAAATATATAAATCATATTAAAAGCAACAAAACAAAAGGCAGTCTGAGCCAGCAAACATCGAGTGAGACGCAACATGAATGTAAAACTGAACCCTGTTGCCACAAATAAGCCAGAGGCTACTTCAAACGTATGAGAATTGTAATCCTTGCCAGATATATGAACTGTTTAGATTTCATGATGGAGGCATATAGGTGTTTAAATGTCACGTGATTTGCAGTAATAAATCAAACGCCAAATTGAAGAGCAATAAAAACTTCCATGTTAGCATGTCGATGGTATCACGTGATATTTCGTGCAAATTTAGCGTACATTAGCGATCGGCGTGCACGTCATTTAACAAATGAGGCAACTCGCTGTGTCGCAGCTAATCACTTTGGATGGCAGAGCTTATGATTTTGATCTGGCAGGCACATTGCATGTTATCTCACCAACATTACGACGTAACTAGTGTCATTTACTTAAATACGACAAAATAGTATGGAACCGAGTGTCAATTCGCCGAATCGCGGAAAACTATATAATTCTAATATTCCACTGGAAAGGGAGGTCTTTCGTAGGCATAAACTTAACTATTTTAAAGCCAGGCTCCGCAGGAAATATTTTCAAAAAGCATATTGACGAAAAACTCGGGAGCGGTTAATGAGATACAGATTTTTAAACTGGGGGAATAAGGTTGAAAAAAGGTGGTTTGGCGACCCTGTAATAAAACTACTCAAGCTTGCCGTATTGAGGGGCTGATGCAGGATGATTTTGCGGGAGGAGGAAAAGTGTATAAAGTATTGATGACTTATGGTCCGATGGACCGAGTCTGGAAGTTTGGGCGTTCCAATTCCTATTCAGTGTCAGGCGAGTTAAGTAAGCTTATCGAAATGCATTGGTACATTTTACTAATGTTGACGTAGTTACTTATTTTGAGCCATTATAGATTTTAAAAATTTAGTGAAAGAAACATGGAAAAGCAAGGTCATAAAGACTCGGTTAACCAGGTCCATTGTCATCGTCTCAAAAAGGAATATTTTAATACACATTTAAGTAGGAAGATTTCTTGTGTAAAACATTTGTACAGTTAAAATGCAACGAAATGGCTTGATGACAGTAAGCAAAACGCATTCCTCTAAATCATCAACGATCCCCTCAAGAAGCCCTCGTTGTGACAAGGTCGTCGTGGTGACTCGTACGCTATCCTCACGGGCCTAGCCTGTCAAAACATTTATGATCAAATTGTAAGTAAATCTCAAATCAAATGTATTCTGATGAATTTATGAATTATTTCTAATATACATAAAGTTATAAATGTATTTGACCCGTTGAGTTTACTGTACAGACCGCAGGTTTTGTTTAGACCATTTAAACAGCACTACTTTAAAATGAAGTTTTGATGTTTTTATTTAAACTCATTCCTCCATGTTATAATCGTATCCAATGGACAAAGATTTTGTTTTCAATAATTAAGTGTATTAGGCTGTATTCACAAATCGATTGATTAATTGTTTGATTAATAAGTAGACGGTGGTAAAAGTGATGACAATTGTAATGATCACGTGGCGGTGACAACCACAACCATGATGGAAAACGTGATGACGGTGACGATAACCACAATGACGACGACGACGACAGTTGACGTTGATAATAACGATAAAGATGATGACGACAATAAGAATGATGATAACGCCGCATTGACAACATCATAATAATGATACAGATTTCAAAATTACAATGGAAACCTAAATTACATAGACCATGGATGAAATGCATAGACCTATCCAGAGTGAATGATGGTTAAATAAGTACAACTTTCTTCATGAATTAGCGATACATTTAATGTCATCGATGACGGAAACGAGGACAGGCCATTGCCGACCACTGTCGTATGTGACGTCATAAACAGTGCGTTGTCAAATTTAATTTTCAGAAGCAAATTAAATGATTAAACCCATCTTGATATATGCATGTTTCAAGTGACTATTTAAATGTTTGTCAAAATTCCATTTTCTTTACATTTATTTGATTCGATATCTTTAGTGGAATAAGATGAATTGTATGTTCAACTTCATCAGTCGAGCTTGTTGAATAGGAGTAGGCCTACCCAGTACACCTAACTTTTATTCCTTGTCACTGTCGTAAGTTTAGGAAAGGTTAATATATTTCCGATGAAAATGATGATAGTGGATAATATAAAACTATTAATGCTACACATTTTATAAAAGAAACGTTCAAG